ACTTTCTCACATATAATCTGAGAGCACAATTCCGAAAGATTGTTTTCTTTCTGATGGTTTTTTGTGATGAAACATGAACAATTTTACTAAAATTACCAAATTGCTGTTTAATTTAAAACAACATTTACAAAATCTGCAATATTGTATTAAATTGTATTATAGTATTGAGTTTAATTCGCAATATTGTTTGATTGACATGTTTACGTGCAAGCGAATATTTTTAGAAACCAATTAATTATGTTATGACTGGGGCGTGTAGTCTTGAAAGGCGGGCTTTCCTGCAGGCCCTTAATCCTCCCCTGGAGCCCGCCAAAATCCTGCCCACTGCAAATCAGACCCCCCATAAATTTGAGGGCCTGCCACGCAGGCTAATTGGCCAGATGGCCCCCCCCCCACTTTTTACTGTCAGGCAATTGAGCTGAAATCCGTGTGTCATTCGGGCAAAACATATAACTCTCATCAAAGTTGATGAGAAGAACTGCAGTCTACAATGAATAATTGAATCTAATAACACCAATATTAATTGCTTTTAATATACTTTGTCATATATGAATAACACCTGTATATGATCATGATCGCTTATGGCAAAGATTATGAAGATTGCAGAAACCGAGCATTGTTCTTAGACATTTCGGTTAAACGTTTGCTAAAGCAGCCTTAACACAATCATACTCGTTTGTTTATAAAAGCACAATCCTGGCCCTTTTTTAACATACAACCATTTGTGGCAAATGCCCCCCCCCCTCGACTCTCCCTTTGTGTCCCCCCCCAAACAAACCAGTGAAGAATAACAAATAGATGGGTGGGAAGTTTTAAGCTTTATCCTTTGTCCTTGTTTAACAAAATGTATTTAAATTATCATGTTTTTTTACCACTAAGTAATGATAAATAATTGTTCCTAATTTATGAATTTGTAATATATCAAATTTATTTATTTTTTTGCACATTTTTTCCTTCTTTTATTTCAAATACAAGTATAGTTAGCATAAATTTTTGAGCGAATTTGGAGCTCAGAATGCATAAAATTGCATTTCTGGGCTTCAAATTTCAAATATTTTATGTGACAGTATGCAACCCCCAGCCCCCCCTCCAGGAATTCATGTGTGGTATGGCAGCCACATAGCTGTCGGCTGCTAATATATTATCTCACAGAAAGGTCCCTTGTCAAAAAATCCTCCCACGGGAAAGTCCTTAAAAAAGGCCCTGATAAAATCTCGAACAAAGGTGTATATGTGTACTGTGTAAGGAAAGCAGTTGGGCAAACTAACACTGTGCCCCAACAACAAGATTAAGCCCATCCGTCCATGGTATATACTGTATGTTTTGCATGATATATAGCTTTAATAATTTATACAAAATAAGGATATTATGTTTTCATCATTTATAATCTACTTTACTCATGTGGAGGATTGTAATTCATGGAGGCATTGATGGCTTTTCCAGGATACCTGTTTACCTAGTCACTTCAAATAATAACAAAGCCGACACTGTTTTAACAGCATTTAATAAAGCAATTGAAACTTATGATTTGCCAGCACATGTACAAGCAGACAAGGGAGGAGAAAATTTCCAAGTTGCATGGTACATGTTAAATCATCCACAACAAGGTGTAACTGGAATGCGTTTTCTGTTAGGTTATTTCTGAGCAGTAATGTATATAATAAGCAGAAAAATACATGGATGCTTGGAAATACCAGATTTATTTCTCGTGTTGAACATGATATCTCACTTGTTCGCTGCGCTCACTCTTGAGATATCATGTTCAAAACAAGAAATAAATCTGGTATTTCCGTGCACCCATGTATTATTCTCTATATATAATTGCAACTGACCTAATAACTGTTCATTAGCATTTCCACAAGCATTTGACAATGCTGAGTCAATCTCATCATGACTAAACGGTGGGAACTAAATCATGTAGTGCATCCTTAATTTCATAGGATCTAAAACATAAAACAAACAATATATCGTACTGTACCCCCTGCCCCCATATGTATCAGCATATTCATCAAGTATGACTGTCAACTATTTCATTACATTAAAAGAGATTAATGGCCATTACTATTTCATTTTCACACAAAAACCCTTAACAGATAAAAAATTATCAAATTTTCACTTTTCCCAAAGTCAGTAATTTAATTTCCACTGGGAAAATTTTGATATCCCTGAAACACGATTTCAAGCATTAATTCTGGGGTGAAATTTTGCAGAATTTCGAAGAATACAAAGTACATCAGTTAGGAAAACTAGTACTCTGCTAAAAGTTGTGGGTTTCCATCATGTACTATGGTTTCATCCCACAGGGGGAAGTTGACAGGGTGAGTTAGGTAATACGGACTCACAGTAATTGGCATATGCTGTTGTGAGCAGCTGGGAAATTTGTTGTCGCTGTGGAGAGAAATTGCTGGCGCACGCAATATTTTACAAAAATTCGAAAATTTGAAAAAACAACATGAGTGAAATTTCAACTCATGATTTTGCATTTTTAAGACGGCGATCAAGGAAATTAAATTGTTGGAAAAACTTCACTAACATCTCAAGTATGGAAAGCATCTACATTACCAGAAATTTAATTGTGGATTGATTCAAAATTCAGGCGCTAAAGTTACATAGCTAGGAGTTGACTTTTGTGCTCTTCGAATATCAGTTTTCATTCGCGGATTATCATAACTTGTTGGCCTCATGGGTGCCAAAATCGACATAAACGTAAACTGCTAACCAAGAGCTATAAAACAAATAGCTTTTCAAAAAGATAAACTTTATTCAGTCAAAAGGATGAGGGTAAATAAACATGCTACTGCGTGATGGTGATTTTGAAGCAACTTTGTCACATATATTTTAAAAAGTGGGATAATGAATCAAATTTTGCTTTTTTCAATCCCAAAAAGGTATAAAAATTATTTAAATATTTAAGGTTTCCGTGTTTATAATGTATTTTTTGAGAAAAGTAAACATTTTCCCGATAAAAAAGCATACTTTCTGCAGAAAACTGTTTTTTGAGATAGAATATCCTGGGAGAGGGGGTGTAGAAGCATGGGCGGATAGCAAAAAACTTTGACGATTTCACCAAAAAATTAATACCAAATTTTGTTTTGCCTAAGTTTGATATCTAATTTAAACAAGTTTTTTTACATCTAAAAATTGACCCTTGTGATCAAAACTTGGATTATGTTCGCAGTATTGTCTATTTGTTTATTTCTGGAGATCGAAGTTTGAGGTCCAATTATTTTTAAAGTTTGCAAACTACTCAGCTAGTAGAACCGAACATACAAGTGCATTAGAAGACTAAGCGAGAGTTTTGTATAGAAATGCTCTGTTTACGGAAGTTATTTTGCATTCGCAAGTGTCAACAAAATCCGGATTTTCACAGTTTGATTATCATGTCGATAGATAAAAGCTTTGAAAATTCAATTGAAAACATTTTAAACCACCCGTATTTCTGTAGAATATATGTTAGTGGTATGTATTAACATTGAACTTCTTTCTGTTTGAACCCAAATTCGTACTTGTTTTGCGTTTGACAAGGCTGTCAAACTCGCGACGATTGGCAGGCATGACTGCAGATTTAGCGTGTAAAATGTCTTCTTGTTTGTGTCAAGTTTATACTATTCTATTGCTGTTCAAACACAAATGAGATATTCTATACACTGGAAACATAGAGTACATTTTACTTTGTCTTTGTCTCGAGCAAAAAAATTATAAAGATTAAACAGGCATTCAAAAATATACAACAACCATGAACATCTCGTTATAATTTTCTTCGGGAAAATCTTCAAGTTTCAATGGAAATCTGGCGCACGCGCAACAAATTTCCCAGCTGCTGTAGCCCGTGTGCAGGCCCAAGGGAGCAGGCTCAAGGGAACTTGATAGTGGGCCTGCAAGCAAGGCCCGGTATTTTGTACTTTCCGCGTTCGCCCACGAACGCGGCATTCTGATTGGCTGTTTGCTGTTGGATTCTATAATTAGGCATAGAACAAAGGCTCTCGATAAGCTTAAAATTCGAAAATTGATCACTTTTTTCGATTATAAATGGAACAAGAGCAGACTGTTTATTGTTTACTTGAAGGAAGAGATGTTTTTGCTGTTATGCCAATGGGGATTGCTTGTCGTGAGGTGTCGGAATATCACTCATTACGACTGGGGTAAACTATAGTAACCTTTACTTGAGTTTCATTAATTTCAAACAGACTTGATACGTTATATGTTCCTCAAGAAAATTATCTTTTGGTTGATGTTGAGATGCAGTTGCATTTAAGCCTATTCGAAACACTTTGCGATTTACAAGGCTTCGCTGAGAGAGCGAAACAGAAGACGGTATTAAATTGCCGTTTGAAACGAAACGATCTGGACTCTGAATGCTCTCTTCTTTTGTAGAGTTCTTTACCACATGAAATAACTGAAATAAATTTCGTACTTTCCGCCGCCAACAAGAATTGCACACATGATCTGATAAGTGAGACAATTTATTTATAACAATGGCAACAGCGAAGCACCATTATAAATGCTAATGTGGTCGCACGACTTCCCTCACGATTTGAAGTTTGAGACTGGTTTTCTGTTGAAATTCGTCCTAATTTGCCTGTTCCGATTTTAGTTGAAAATGAGCACTTGGAAATTTGGCAATTACTGACTGTGTTGCTTGCTTTTTTGGAGTTAAAACCCAGCCATTTACACATTGCTTATGTTCTCAATAAGCAGAGAAAACCCCGCAACATTTTAATGCGAGTTTGTTTGTTAATATTTGGGTGCTGTCATTGGTTCTTTTTTGACAATTGACGCGCGAATGGGGCGTGTTATGAAAAGGGGCGTTTTACAAAATACCGGGCCTTGCTTGCAGGCCCACTATCGGTTCCCTTGGGCCTGCACGCGGGCTACAGCTGCTGCTGTTGTGGTGACCCTTGCCCTTGTGGCAAAGCTAAATAAATACCCAACAATACAAATATGCTAATTAGTCAAACTGTTTTACAGAAGTCTTATGTAGATATTGGTGCACATGAAAAATGTCAACCTATGTATTTTCCCAAGTGCTACCAGAAGAACTTGAAGATGTTAACCAAATTGTAGGAGCAGGAACATTTGGAGAATGCCTTCTCAAACAATATTTGCGGTTAGGAATACATGTTGTTGAGAAAACAATTACTTTATGATGAAGCATATTACATGCAGTTATTTTCACATTGATGTGTGCTTCATCTGACAGGAACCCAGACCCAAATAAAGCCATATTCTTTCATCATGGAATTTCTTGGACATGGAGTGGAATCTATGACAGTGCACAGGTTACTTTTCGATGCTGTACTTAGTGAGCAGAAATCCAGAATGTTGCTTCCAAACTGGTTTAGAGTATGCTATGACATAGCTGATGCTTTGCATTATATTCATGAAAAGGAATATTTGCATTGTGACTTGAAGTTAAATAATGTTTAGGTTTCCAACCAAAAGGGTTATTTGATTGATTTTGAAAAAGTCTGTAAGGTCAGGAATCCAAGAGCAAAGAAATATAAAACAGTATATCCCCATATTGCACCAGAAGTACTTAATGGTGATCCAGTCAGTAAGCCATGCAGTGGTGTGTTTTCATATGGTAAAATCCTTAAGACCATTGGTGGGCAGCTTAGAAACAAGGAACTTCTATCAATGGGGGATAAAGCTTCTGAATCTTTACCAAATAGGAGACCAAGCCTTATAGGTATAGGTCTCCATCGATGGCTAAAAATTATTAAAAATTATTCAGTCATTGTGAATCATCACACTTTTAATGTAAATATAAGTAGCTTAATTTAACAAAAATCTTAAAATTTTAATCCACAGTCACGGCAAAAACTTCTAAGCTGTCAAGATTTCTGTCTTTGGGCAGCTGGCTATCACAATTTCTGTCTTTCGGCAGTCAGTTCAAGCTATTCTGTGTACATAGTAGCTTAATTTAACAAAAATCTTAAAATTTTAACCCACAGTCATAGCAAGAACTTCTAAGCTGTCAAGATTTTTGTCTTTGGGCAGCAGTAAGTTATTCTATGTACAAATTAGCTTAATTCAATAAAAAACTTTAAAATTCTAACCCAGCCATTCAACAACTTCTAATATCTGTAATGATGATGATAGTAGACACAACCTCATTCAAAAGCCAGATATTTGCAAAATTATAATCAGAGCTATTGGTTCATTGACATTGTCTTGAACATATTAGCAGTAGTGACTAGTGCAAATTTATACATAAAATATTCAGAAATATAAAATTCATAAGCTTAGCACTGAGGTAAACTGTAAAAGTGTTTGTGCTCACGCTTTTTCGTTTGTCTTTGTCTCTATATTAGCATGAAACTTTGAAGCCATCCAAATTCAACACACATGTTTACTTTATATAAATATATTATGGTATTCAGGTACAGGTATTGTCAGTACAATGGATGACTGTTCTGAATGAATTGTCAAAAGCTATGGTCACAAGCTACGTTAATGTAAAATTGACATACCTGATAAGAGATTCATATTTTAGATTTCTGTTTAAATTTCTTGCCATAAAATGCGGTCTTCCAATAATTCGAAAATATATTTTAAAATATGTTGTGTCTCACTCAAGTCTCACTCCTTCCATCGCCATTTACGGCTGCTAAAAATGTCGGTGAAATGGCGAATGGACTGCGCATGACCTAGACACATTGGAACTAGGTCGAAACAAAACTTGACCCATGCATTAATGCACTTGAGATTGTCATTGCTGTCTAACAGTTCTTTCTGCAATGGCTTGATGTATATTTTGCATTGTCCTTCAACTTCTTTTAATGTTGTGGCAGATACAGGGGTTTTAAATGGCAAAACGATGAGTTTTCACCAGAACGGTCAAACAAGAACAACTCGTAGCCTGCAGAACATAGCTTTGGAAATGCTTCCAGTAACTTTTCATGTAAATGTGAGCTGTTTCCATCAACATGAAATGTCACAGTTCCACCCCCCAAGACCTGCATTTGCCAACATGGTTCTTTCTTTAACCCACTGAGACGCACTGCACCCTGATGCACCCTACTTTAGTATTTTACTCTGTCTAACGCCAGACAAATTTACTCTGTCTAACGCCAGACAATTTTACTCTGTCAAACGCCAGACAATTTTACTCTGTCAAACGCCAGACAATTTTACTCTGTCAAACGCCAGACAATTTTACTCTGTCTAACGCCAGACAATTTTACTCTGTCTAACGCCAGACAATTTTACTCGTCAAGGGGAGAGCACTGGCGCTTAATGGGTTAACTGATAAAGAAATTCTTGGCAGATTATGTAGTGTTTATATAATAGTTTAATAATGTGTGTAAGATAATAGAACCCGGATGACCACAAGGGACGGGACCTGGTTCAGTTTGTAAAATTGTTGAATAAAATCAAGGAAAAACGAGAAACATGGCAGTAGCTTTACCGCATTTTGCTGAATTTGATGTTCATTCGGATGGTGCAATCGGCATTCGTTGGAAGAAATGGCTCACTCGATTTAAAAACCTCCTGCTAGCATTAGACGTAGACGACACTAAAAGACAAAGAGCTCTTTTACCGCACTATGCTGGAGAAAGCGTGAACGAAATTTTCGAAACATTGCCCAACACAGACGCTGGAGAGGACGAAGACCCGTTCGAAAAAGCAGTGACGGCATTAACAAACTATTTTACCCCCAAGAAAAATCGAGAATACGAAGTATACGTCTTTCGTAAGGCCAAGCAAGAAAATGGCAAAAACATTTTTGCATTTCACACACGTCTGCGACAACTAGCGATGAATGGTGAGTTTGCTGACACCGACAGAGAAATTAAAACCCAAATTGTGGAAAACTGTCTATCGCACAAACTTCGTATGAAAGCGTTACAAAATCCGGAACTTACCTTAACTCAGCTACTGGATGCCGGTAAAGTCCCAAGCAGAAACCATCAAAGAGAAACAAAACGTCAACAAACTGTCGAGGAAATACACGCGAAGAGCTTTGAAACAAAATCAAAATGGCAGGCATGTTGACAGAAATTCTGATGGCGCGAAAACAGCCGACCGGAATTTCGTACTCAGCGAAAGTAGAAATGCCGGAACTGTGGTAAAGGATACCCACACCCGGGCGGAAAAACGTCGTGTCCTGCCTATGGAAAAAGTTGTCGAAGCTGTGGAAAGCAAAACCACTATGAAGCCGTGTGTAGATCGAAGAAACTCAACAAGAAACGGGATATTAAAACTCAAAAGCCACGGCACAACGTTCAAAACTTTGTTGATGAAAACTCCAGCTCTGAAGACTCAGACGAAGATGGCTATGCATTTTCTGTGAACAGTACCGGTAAGGAACGATCGCAACCAATGTTCAACATTGTCATTCACAAAACTCCAATGACAATTATGGCTGATTCTGGTGCCAGCGTAAATGTGTTAGATGAAAAAGACTACCAAGCCCTATCCAAGCGTCCCGAGCTTCAAACAACAAAGGTGAAGATACATCCCTACAAGTCCAACAAGTCATTAAAAGTCTTGGGAAATTTCAACATGAAGTGCGTGGAAGACAAACTCTACGTAGTCCAGGGATCCGGTGGTTCGCTTCTTAGCTGGAAGACATCGCAAGAACTTGGACTCTTGAAAGCGGTGCACAACGTCAATGATGATAGCTCCCCAACAACCGAGAAGCTGATCAAGGAATACGACGAACTATTGCATGGACTCGGAAAATTGAAAGGGTACCAGATTAAACTCCACATTGACAAGAGTGTTCCGCCAGTCGCACAACCTCACCGCAGGGTTCCGTTTCACGTACGTCAGCAGTTAGAGGAACAACTCAAGCGAGACGAGGAACTCGGAGTTATCGAGCGCATCGAAGGCCCCACACCATGGGTATCGCCTATCGTAGTGGCACCCAAACCAAAGTCTCCTGGAAAGGTTCGCGTATGTGTAGACATGCGTCAAACAAATCAGGCCATCAAATGGGAACGCCATGTAACGCCTACAATCAAAGAGATCATTGGTGACTTGAACGGTGCCAAAGTTTTCAGCAAATTAGATTTAAACCAAGGATATAACCAACTCGAGTGAGCGCCGGAGTCACGGTATATCACCACTTTTGGCACACATCTGGGACTAATGCGATATAATTTATATATTTGGTATTTCGAGCGCAGCCGAAATTTTTCAGAATGTAATTCGTGAAACTCTCGAAGGCATCCCCGGAGCTCTCAACATTAGCGACGACATTCTGGTGCTTGGAAAGACGCAGAGCGCCCACGATCAAAGTCTGGAAGCGGTCTTCCAGAGGCTCAAAGAGCGCGGTCTAACATTGAACAAGCACAAGTGCGAGTATGGCAAAGACAAGCTCGAGTTCCATGGTTATGTCTTCTCGGGAGATGGTACTGCACCAGACCCTAAGAAAATTGACGACATCGTCAACCTACAGACACCAACATCTGCATCCGAAGTCCGAAGCCTATTGGGAATGACCAATTATTGTTCCAGATTTATCCCGGACTATGCAGCCAAGACCGAACCATTACGCAAGCTGACCCGCCAGGATCAACCTTGGGAGTGGACATCGCAGCACGACAGCGCGGTTGACCAACTGAAAGAAGCCTTGGTGAATGCACCGGTTACGGCGTACTTTGATCCAACCAAAGATACTGAAATCTCGGTCGACGCCAGTCCTGCTGGGTTAGCTGCCATTCTCTCGCAAGTGGACAGAAAGACCGGTACCCACCACATCGTCACCTATGCCAGTCGTCCCTTGTCTGAGACAGAGCAGCGTTACAGCCAGACAGAACGCGAGGCCCTTGCCGTCGTCTGGGCCTGCGAACATCTTCATCTGTACATATACGGAAAGCCTGTGACAATCTATACCGATCACAAGCCTCTAGTGTCCATCTATGGCAACCCAAGTTCTAAACCTCCTGCAAGAGTGGAGAGATGGGCTCTCCGACTTCAGCCTTACCAACTGACAATCCGTTACCGAAAAGGAGAAGAAACCCCGCAGATTACTTGTCACGCCACCCTTCCAAACAACCAACCACAGCTAGCCGAGAACAGAAGATCGCAGAAGAGTACGTTAATTACATCACCGTGACCTCAACCCCAAAAGCACTAACGGTCCAGGAAATTGAAGAAGCTACCAAAGCTGATGCGACCTTGCAAGCAGTATCCAAGGCAATCGAGACAGGTAATTGGCAAGAAGGACCTAAGCAATCGGATGTGGACAGCGTAGCTTATACCGCGTGGCAGAAGGTAAAAGAGGAGTTGTCAGTAGGTGTGACAGCCCAGATAATTCTTCGAGGAACAAGAATAGCTGTTCCCAGAAAACTACAAGAGCGTGTAGTAAACTTAGCACATAAAGGACACCAAGGAGTTGTGAAGACAAAGTCACTTCTGCGTGAAAGGTATGGTTCCCTAGCATCGACAAGTTGGTAGAAAAGAAAGTCGAGTCTTGTTGTGCGTGTTTGATCTCAACTCCAGAGTCTAAACGTGAACCTCTCAAAATGTCTCCACTACCGAAAGCTCCATGGTCAGAAGTTAGCATGGATTTCGCGGAGCTTCCAAACAGCGAGTATCTCCTGATAATTACAGATGACTATTCAAGATATCCGGTTGTCGAAACGGTCAAGTCTACTTCTGCCAACACGGTGATTCCGAGGGTAGGCAAAATGTTCTCTGAATTTGGAATACCTGACGTAGTAAAGACAGACAACGGACCCCCTTTTAACAGCCGTGAATTTCAGTCGTTTGCGCAGACTCTCGGTTTCAAGCATCCAAAGATCACTCCTCGATGGCCAAGAGCAAATGGTGAAGTCGAGCGATTCGTGAGAACGATAAAGAAGGTGGTCAAGACGGCGACAGTAGAGCACAAGAACTGAAAACAGGAGATGCATCGTTTCCTCAGAAACTTCAGAGCAACTCCTCACACAACGACAAAAGTTCCCCCAGCAACCGCATTGTTTGGTCGGGCACTAAAAACAAAGTTATCTGAGTTAAAAAAGACTTTGCAAGACCCAGCAGTTGAGGGAAATGATCGCAAGGCGAAGTCGAGGATGAAGAGATATGCTGATTCCAAAACCTATGTTCAACCCTCAACAATCCAGGAAGGCGATACAGTGTTCGTCAAGCGTGACGATTCGAAGAGAAAGAGAGATACACCCTACCGACCTGATTCATATGTCGTTGTACAGAAGAAAGGATCCATGGTGACAGCAAGAAATAACAACGCAACGATCACCAGAAATTCTTCGTGTTTTAAGAAAGCGCCCAGCGACAATGGCG